CCAGCAAATCTGGTTCCTCCTAATAATACAAATCAAAATGTTAGGTTAAAATAATTGAGATTTGGATCTACCCTAGCGGCTCCACTTGACAATATTAAATCTCGTATCTGTCATCTATTATCTATATAACTTACGAAGAACGGTCATCTATTATCAATACTGCTTTCATCTTATTTTGCAACCATCAAACGCCCCTTAGCCTTTTTGTTTCCAGTTTTGAACCCATCCAATACAACCAACCCTATATACGGCCAGCGATGTCTGCGAGTAAGATTGAAGCCAAGAGTCCGGCGGCAATACTAGCCATTGGTACGGCAAACCCAGCCAACTGTTACTACCAACAAGATTATCCTGATTTCCTATTCCGAGTCACCAATAGCGACCATTTGACAGAATTGAAAGACAAGTTCAAGCGCATATGTAAGTGGTACTCTTTGTACAACACGTATATGCATGCATAAAATTAATGTATTAATTCATACTAATTAATAAAATTATATAATGCACTAAGTGATTTATGATCTATTAATCAGCGGGGCATTCAGATTTGGGACCTCTTCCAAATATCATGCAATAAGTTAACCTTCCAAATATAATGCACTAAGTGATACATATAGTCCCCTTCTATTGAGGGACACCTTTTAGGGTCCCCTATGAATTTTTTTTCAACGATACAAACCATCAATTTTTAAAGTCTACATTCATAGATCATCCTTGCAAAAAATTAGACAAATCGGAAACCGTTTCGACATCAAATTGTGTCCTACAAAATCAATGAACACGATGGTTTAAAAAAGTACTAAAATTTCAATATTTCAATTGAGTGGTCAAATGATATCGAATTCAAGTGATTTTTTTTATAAAGATGATCTTTAAATGAATATCTAAAAAATAGACGGTTTGAATTAGTGAAAAACAATGCAGAATGGGCACTACAGGGCTGTCCCTCAAATAAGATGATCTTCAACCGAAGCTCAATCTGTGTGTGTGTGTATATATATATCTATATCTATATCTATATATTGAATAGTTGACAACAGTGTTTTTATCTCTTTAAGTAGTGTGGGGTTGATGAGATTTTTATTTTTATTTGGTCTGCTGGATGTGTATTTAGGGCTAGTCTGGAAAGATAGTGAATTTTTTTTAGAAATTGTGAAAATTTGAATTACAAGTTAGAGTGAACTTTTAATATGGAGTGAACAAAGAGAAGTGAAGGATTTAAATAGAAAAACTTTATTATTATTGATAAATAGATTAGATATACATGTACATGAGTGAAATAACACCGTGAAAAGGCAATAGGGAACATATTTTTCTTCTTTCATTTTTGAAAAACGTGGGCCACTAGAGTACGGTAATAAATGTGACGAATAGAGCCAAGTTAGTAAAATTAAGTGGGAGGATAACTGTGGATACTTTTATGAAATTTGTTAATTAACAGGTGAAAAATCAATGGTAAAGAAGCGTTATCTACACATCACGGAAGAGATCCTAAAGGCAAACCCAAACATATGTCGCTACAAGGCACCCTCACTGGATCCACGTCAGGACATGTTGATTCTAGAGGTACCCAAGCTTGGCAAGGAAGCGGCATTGAAGGCCATCGAAGAGTGGGGCCAGCCCATTTCAAACATCACCCATCTCATCTTTTGCACATCTTCCTGCGTTGACATGCCTGGCGCCGACTTTCAACTTGTCAAGCTCCTCGGCCTTGACCCCTCTGTGAACAGATTCATGATCTACGTACAAGGCTGCTTCGCTGGTGGGACTGCCCTACGTCTTGCCAAGGACGTCGCAGAAAACAACCCCGGCGCACGCGTTCTGGTGGTGTGCTGTGAGATCACAAATATGTATTTTCAAGCACCCACTGAGAGCCATGTGGATGTTTTGGTAGGACAGGCTTTGTTCTCAGATGGTGCGGCGGCTTCAATTGTCGGTGCTAATCCTGACCCCAAAATTAACGAACGGCAGGTGTATGAGATTATGTCAACGAGAGAGACTATTGTCCCATACTCGGAGCATGGCGTGGTGGTACACTTCCGTGAAATGGGTTGCGAGTATTATCTTTCACCAGATGTGCCAAAGTTCATTGGTGCAAACATTGAGGAGATTTTTGTAAAAGGGTTTAGCGAAATTGATGGGATAAATAATGATTGGAACTCGTTGTTCTATAGCATCCACCCTGGTGGACCAGCCATTTTAGACATGGTTGAAGAAAAACTGGGTCTGAATGAGGGGAAGCTGAGAGCAACTAGGCATGTATTGAGGGAGTATGGGAACATGGGATCTCCATCTGTTCTGTTTGTTCTCGATGAGATGAGGAAGAAGTCAATGGAGGAAGGAAAAGCCACGACTGGTGAAGGGCTGGAATGGGGTGTTCTGATTGGGGTCGGGCCAGGGCTAACCGTGGAGACTGTTGTATTGCGTAGTGCCCGCATCGCTGCCTGCTAATTATGTCCTTAATTACTGATCATGGATTAAGGGCCAGTTTGGTATTACTGTAATATAAAAATAATCGCTCTCAGTTTGGCTGTGAGAGTAAACAGTTTGGTGAAGTGTTGTTTGTATAATAATCAGTTTCTGAGTGTTTGGAAACTTTTTGTTGTAAGTGTTGTTTGTATAATAATAAGTTTCTGAGTGTTTTGTAAATATTTGTGTGAAAGTGCTGTGAGTTGTGAATAATAACTAAAAAAGGCATTATGTTGAAATGCCTTTTCTGTTAAAGTGTTTGGTAAAAGGAAAAACACTTTTACTTTATCTTATATATTTTTTGTATTAAATATGTTTCCATTACGCCCAGTGGCGGATCTGTGTAAAGGGCAGGATGGGTGCCTGCCCATCCCAAAGTTTTTTTTATTTTTAAAACCTATATATGTTATAAGGGCAGCCCAAATTTAAAAACTTAAAAGCTAATCCAATATAAACACGTTGCCCGTCCAACTTCCAAGAGGAAGTGTTCCCATATATGTTGTCTTTTCTCTTTTGGCACAGCTTGTTTATCTCTTCTATTCTATAGCGACCACACAACAACCTCTTTTCCCCCGCTCTATTTGCTGCATATTCCTATTATATTGGCTGGGCAGTGGGCAACTTGGCAAAATCATCTCCTCTCCTTTCTACAACAAGAAGTATTTTCTAATTCTCTCATTTTCTATATATCATTAATTATAGTTTTAATTTAAAATTGAATATTCTAGGATTACTTAGAGATTAAATTATAATTTTGTGATTTTGTTGAAATTAAGTTGGGGCTTTGATTTTAGGAATTTTGTTGAGATGTTTCAATGTTTAATTTGTTGTTTGTTCATATTGTTGAGATGCTATTATTATGAGAATTTGTTTGATTTTTTGTTGGTATGTTTGATTTAAATTATTTCTTTTACATGTTATTCATAGGTTATCTTTCACTTGTAGTTTTTGTTTTTGTTGTTAAGCTTTTATTTATGTATAGATGTATTTGAGGGTAAGGCTCACTATGTTCCCCCTGACTAGGTGTATCTTTTTTCTGATTATTAATGAAATTTACTTGTATCGTCGAGTTTAGTATGTAAGTTCCGCCCAATTGGCTTTCCAATCTTGGATTCGTCACTGACCACTTACATATGCGCTTGAACTTGTCTTTCAATTCTGTCATATGGTCGCAATTGGTGACTCAGAATAGGAAATCAGGATAATCTTGTTGGTAGTAACAGTGGGCTGGGTTTGTCGTACCAATGGCTAGTATTGCCGCCGTGACTCTTGGCTTCAATCTTACTCGCAGACATCGCTGGCCGTATATAGGGCTGGCTGTATTGGATGGGTTCAAAACTGGAACAAAAAGGCTAAGGGGCGTTTGATGGTTGCAAAATAGGATGAAAGCAGCATTGATAATAGATGACCATTCTTCGTAGACATCGCTGGCCATTCCTCATAAGTTATATAGATAATAGATGAGAGATATGAGATTTGATATTGTCAAGTGGGGCCGCTAGGGCAGATCCGAATCTCAATTATTTTAACCTAACATTTGGATTTGTATTATTAGGAGGAACCTGTTTGTCACGATAAATTTAAGAAAAACCACCTACTAACTAAAAAATGTTTTCGACCAAAAAAAAAACTGCAAAATGTTACTGTATAGTTCAATTCAAATGCTTGTAACAATAAATTTAATAAAGATAAAGAATCACAGCCAAGTGCAAGTTGCTGTGAATCCTAAAACTAAAATATATTACTTTATTGCAATGAATGGGTTAGGATAAATTCGGCGCGAGGAAAAACAATAAGCTGGCCTATATAATATCAGGAAGATTTTCTAATAAGTATTTTATGTTAAGAATTGGTTACATACTTCTAATCTTAGCCGTTAGATTGCATTCATTAAATGTGTTGACAGTTTATTAGATGCAATCCAACAATCAAGATTAGATGTAACTAATCCTTCACTTAAATACTTATTGGAGAATGTCTCTATAATACCATTACAGGAAAGTAAGTTGGTGAAATCAACAAAACATAAAGTGATCTCATAATTATTGATGAAATTGGACTTGAGTGGTAGTTAAGACTAGTTGATGAGGTAGTTAAGACTGGTTGATGTAGAATCCTCCAACAAATTCAGATATTTTTAAGTTTTAATTCGGACGTGCTTATTTTAAAATGATCATAAAATCACCACTCTAGTGAGATTTCCCAACTAGATGGTGCCAAGTCAGCAACTTGGAAAAGGTAATTATTCTTCTCATGTTTTTGTCTGTCATTCCCTGTCCTTTGCTTAATTTTTTGATACCTGACATCTCACTTAACCCTACTTTAATAGAGTTATTCATACTCTCACTTAACCCTACTTTAATAGAGTTATTCTTACTCTAACTTTGTTATCTCTTAATAAAAATAAAATAATTAAATATGTCAACTCCTCCACCCCTCTCCCTTAACCCTACCTTAGCTCCGGTTTGGTTATGCATGTGAGAAGTTCATCCTCATTGACATTAGCTAGGAAAGTGGTGTGGGCATTTGTATCAACGGTATCTACACAAACACTCATTCATCTCCACGGGCTTCTTAATGGCCTCAAACACCTTGAACTCAACAATTTGGCCTTGTACAGTCATGGTCAATAAACCTTTCTTCACATCAATGATGGTGCCAACAGTAGCCATAAAAGGACGTCCCGTAATGATGGGAACTTCTCTATCTTCCTCCATGTCAAGGATGATAAAATCCATTGGAAGCACAAATTGATCCACTTTGATTAGTATATCATCAATGATTCCAAGTGGATATTTGATAGACCTATCAGCTAGTTGCAAGCTCACAAAAGTTGGTTTAATATCTCCAATGCCTAGTGCTGAAATACAGAATAAGGCATTAAGTTAATACTTGCACCCAAATCAATTAAAGCCTTTCAATATGTAAATTTCCAATAATGCAAGAAATTGTAAAACTCCATGGATCCTTAAGTTTTGGTGGCAATTTCTTAAGGAGAACTGCAATGCATTCCTCAAACAACATCACTTTCTCATGTGTAGCAAACTTTTGCTTGTTTGTGCATACATTCTTGTGGAACTTAGCATAAGCTGGGATTTGCTTCACTGCATCCAACAATGGAATATTTATTTGAACCTTTCTAAACAATTCCAGAATATCCAGTGTTTGTTGATATCTCTTGTGCTTCTATAGTCTTTGAGGAAAATGAACGAGAGGCACATATATTCGCTTCTTGGAATAGGCACCACTGTAGGTTCTTTGGTAAACTCAATAGCTGTTGTATGGACCTCTCTAACATTCGTTGTGGTTGAAGTGTGGTTATTTCCTCCACCTCTAACTCAATTTCAGTGGCTTGTTTTCCCTCTATTTCAACCTTAGAAACATCTTCAGGTCTAGCCTCATAAGTTTGGCCACTCCTCAATGTTTTTATGGCCTTAATGTGCTCCTAGCCTCTTGGATTTACTTTAGGTTGGCTAAGTAACTTTCCTATCTCCCTCTCATTAACTATGTTTGCAATCTGGCTTACTTAGACTTCTAATTTCTGATTGCAGCATGACAATTTTGATAACCAGCTTGAAGGTTATTGTTTATTTGTTGTTAAGTTGAATAAACTGAGTCATAATCTTTGTCAAAGTTGGTTCTCTTGGTTTATTCGGATTGGCAGGTTTCTGCTGAGGATAAATGCGCTGCTCAGATGGATTGTTATTGATCCATGAGAAGTTGGGGTGTTTCTTCCATCTTGGGTTATATGTTTTGGAGTAGGGATCATGTCGTGGCTTTTGAAAGGAATTTATTTGATTAGCCTGTTCCTACGTAAGATCACTCAAAGGGAAACTACTAGTTGGATAAGAACTATCAGAGCAAATAGCACACACAAAGGAAAGAGAAACAAATCTGGTCATTGATTGCATGAAAATTTCAAGCTTCTTTTCCAAGTTGGATACTTGAGATATTGAAGCAACTCCAGGCTTTGTATCGACACTGTGCACACTAGTCTTCCTTGTGAAACTGTTATCTCCCCATTGCATAGAGTTGGCAGCAACTCTATCAAAAGTTTTTAAACACTCCTCAGGAAATGTGATACATGAAGGCTTTTCTAAGATTGTGGGCTGTGAATACTCTTTCAAGGGCTAGTGTTCGCTGCCATTGACTCTGTGTCAAACTCTAAATCAGTAGCAAACGCTCGTTGGTTGATGCAACAGAGCTTTCAGAACGTTTTTTCTATCTCAGGATCAAAGGGCACTAATTCTTGACCTTGGGATCTTGTGCTGACCATTAACTAACACACACAGAGCACAACTGGTGATGGTTTGGAATATGGTGTTCTGATTGGGATCGGACCATGGCCCACCGTGGAGACTGTTGTGCTGCGTAGTGTCCCTATTGCTACTGCTAATTAATTAAGTCGTTAATTATTGTTAGGGCCCAAAAAATCTAAGGCTAGACCCAAATATATTCCTGGTCAAATGCGATACCTTACCGAGAAGAAATCCGATTTGAGCGTGCGAAAGTTCATCATACACACTCACACGAGTCATGATCCATGTGCCATGCCAAGAAAATATGTAACGTGTCATGCTAAAAGTTGTAGCAAGCCTATAAAATGCACCAGCTTTATGAACCCATGCTAATTATCCTGCCAAGCACCGTTTTGACTCGACCATAGCCCTTTACAATATGATGAAATTTGAGCACAAGCACGCCAATCGACATGCCACGCCAAGGGGAAAACCCTTCATTTTACACCTAGCCACACTACAAGCTTAACTAGGCCAAGCCACGCAAATTCCTGGGGCTTGCTGAGTAGGTTGTGGTATGGATGGTTACGAGCATTCACGAGGCATGTGGGACAAGAAGTGGAAGTTTTGGGCTGCTTAGGTGCCCCAAAACTCGAGCCCATTTCTTGAGCTCAAATATGTGGGTAAGCATGAAAGAAAGAAAAAGATAGTCCATTACCTTAGAAAATTGGCCCATCACCTTAGTAAAATAGTCCATCACTTTAGAAAGTTGGCCCATCCTCTTAGTACACTAGCTCATCACCTTAAGGAATGGCCCAAGTGACTTAGAAAATATATGAAAGTCTCCAGCACTTGGTCAGAGACAAAACCACGATAGACCATTTGAAATACCAAAAGGTATTTGTGTGTGCAGGCTGCTAGGAGTCTACAACACATGGTCAAAGACAAACCCAACACAAAACATCCAAAAAACTAAAGGATAGTTGAGCAAAGCACCATTCAGACAAACACCATTACCTACTCCTTTCTCCCACCAGCTCTTGCCATAAAATGAAAGAGAAAAGAAGGAGAAATGGTAGCCCAAAATAGGAGATGGCCACAGGGATAGCTGCGGGAAGGTTCTAGAGCCTCCAAAATTTTTGTCTATGTGTGTTTGGACTGGGGAGGATTTCACTAAATAGGGATGAATCAAAAGAGGAGAAGAGGAATGGAAAGGAGACTTGGCAAACCCAACTAGGGTTTCTTGGGAAGAAGGAGTTTCCAGCGCTTATAAAAAGGGGCATCTCTTACCCATCATCTCACCCCCCACATCCAGAGAGAGCAAGCATCACCTCTCACCACTGGAATCCTTTGATTTCGAGCCCTATTCCTCCATCTCTTCTCCTTTTCTCTGCCGAAAATTTTCTAAAACCACCCATCATCTCAACCACATCCAGAGAGAGCAAACATCACCTCTCATCCTTGGAACCCTTCAATTTCGAGCCCTATTCCTCCATCTCTTCCCATTTTCTCTTTTGGCAAGCCATTCTAGAGCCTGATGATGCTTTCGTCAAGCTACCAGAAAATTGCTCAAACCACCCACTTCTCCTTCCTCATCTCTTCTTTTCTCTCCCCTCAACAAATTCTCTCGAAATTACTTCGACCCTTATGTTTGGGCCTAAGAATTCCACACGCCAGCCCATTTTGACGAAGAGGCCCATAAATAGAAAAAACAGAAGAATGGGCCTTGACTCCAGAAATATAGCCCAACCGACATTAAAAGCCCATGTTTTTTGCAAAGGTGGCAAAGGTTTAAAAACACAAAAATAACCAATAAAATTGCCAATTAAATGGTAATTTATCGCAAAGCAGGTTGAAAACCTCTAAGAAATTGGATTAAACCCAGCTTCTGAAAAATTCTCGTCACTTGATCTCAAAAGCAAGTCAACAAATCTTTTTTACTAAAAGAATGTTTTCCCAAAAGAGCCCTACGTGACTTCCTAACTTTGAAAAATCAAAATTTTCAACTATCACAGAGGAGTTGATAAGGAGTTAATGAAGGAGGTTTTACAGGATGACTTCTCCAATCTTTGCAGCTAAAGGAAGAAGATCAAAATCTCTGTTTATACATAGAAAATCTATGTACCAAATAAGGTTACCTTTCCAACAGATAAGCAGGCTACGTTTTCGAAAGATAAGTAGGGAGAAAGAGAGTTGTTCATTAAAAAAAGAAAACTGACCATCATGGCAGATTGTGTCTTTCCTTCTTTACAAGGAATTAATAGAGAGCAAAAGAAGTTGATTTTCTTTTTGGGAAAAGCAAGGAAAAGACCACCATGGGAATTGACTGTTGATGGTTCTTCTATGCCAGAATAGATAACTTCCCCTTATTTGGGGCATTTAAAAAGAAAGATCTTTTGAAAAGATTTGCCTCCCATTATTCAAAGATTAAAAATCCCACTCCAGCATTTCCTATAGAATAAGAGAGAGGGTGAACAGATGAAGACAACCAAAAAATCAATCAAGACAAAAACTCTCAAAGTCACAACTGACAAACTCAAAAAGATGAACTGATCTTAAAAGCTTTCTTGACCCTAAAGCAACCAAAACTCGTTGATCCATAAGAAACAAATCAGCTAGAGAAATAGTTTTACAAAGCGAGATTTCTCTCCTTACAAATTTGGTTCAACACAAAGCCAAGTCAAGCAGTTTTTTCTTTTTTTTTTTTTTTTTTTTTTTTTTTTTTTTTATTTTAACAAAAATAAAACCTCAAATTTACAAAAAAAGCCTTGGTCAAGCCAGAATAGGCAGCAATATAGTGCAGTTCCAGTTCACTGACCATCAATCCATCCACTTCTGTCCTCTTCAGACTTGAGAGGCCCCAATTCTGCCCTGTCAGCAAGCCTTCCATGGCTCATAATAAATTGAAGCTCTGCCAAACTCAAATGTTGGTATCAATTTCCAACTGAAATTCATTAGTTGAAGGTGTTAACAATTCAATCCAGCATAGACACATCCAATCCATCCTAGTTTAGAGGCAGCTACTCGGGCAGAAATCGAAGGCCAACATTTTGTTGTCTTTTTCAGAGTTGTCATTTCACTTTTGAGTCCTATAATAGGCAGTTATGCCTAAATAGTTTGTCTTCTTTTCATTTATTCTAGCCAGAACTACCAATTTTGTATTGTGAAAAATTGTGAAGTCCACACCAGTCTGAGGTAAGAAAAGAACTTACTTGGGAGATATTCCTCACCCAAATTCACAATTGCTTGTTTAAAAGTCAGTAACTTAGGGTGCAAGATATCTATTTTTTAGAAGTCTGCTAGGGTTTTAAACTGCTAGCAGTGGCATGCGCATGCAAAAAGAAAGTTGACTTGTTGACCTCCAATAGTTGTCAAGCCAATGGGGAACTTTACCCTACCATCACAAGATTAAAATCAAAACGGGTGAACACCTTACTTTGAACCTCTGTTTCTCATAGGAAATCCAAGCCCTGTCTCTCTCTTTAATACTAAACTCATTAATGCTTAGCTTCCATGTCACAAGCTTCTCAAGCCAAGTCATATATTTATCTGTAAGCAACTGTTGGTTTTGTTGGTGAAGGAGACCAAGTTGTTTTCTAAGGCTCCACAACCCTATCGAAGCACTCTTTGGGTTTGATTCTTGAACTTAGACATAGGGGCAAGTCCACTCATGTGCTCTTACAGCAACATAGATCCATCTGTAACTGACGAAAAAAAAAGGCCCCCACAATTACTCATCACTATCCAGTAAGCTAATAATTATTTTGAGTTGTTAATTTGCATATACTGTGGCTTTACCGTAAGCGTAAGGTGATTATTTACAACTTGTTATGATGTAACACAAATAATAATGAGCAAGCCAAATCATGGAATAAATTTCAGGATGACAAGTCTTCTTTATTTTTCAAATTATTACATAATTAATCTAAGTTATACCATATATATATATATATATATATGGAAAAGAAATAGCATTACAATAAAACTACAATTGTTGTCGATGAGGTTTCATACCATGAAAATGCAGCAATATAGTAACATCCTTTCCCAAAATTTAATTTAATTTTCTAAATTTGAAAGTGAAGGGGCGGTTGTACCCTTAAGGTTAGGTTCACTCTTTATTCGGGACTAGCTAGAAAAAGGGCGGTTGTACCCTTAAGGTTAGGTTCCCAAAATCAATAACCCTAAAATTAAAACTCAAATCCCTCTGAACTAGAAGGAGGGAGGAGAAAGAAAGAGACGGGAGAGAGAGTAGAGAAGAGAAAAAGAGAGAGAGAGAGAGAGCGTGAAGAGAGGGAGACGCGAGAGACAGAATCTCTCTGTCTATGGCCATGGTGAAGGCAAGGCGATGAGGTGGGAAGAACAAGACCGTGGAGAGAGGTAGATGCGAGAGACGAGAGATAGAAGAGAGATATTAGAGAATGAGGGCTATCGGGGCTTAAGAAAACATATTGAGTCACTGTTCACTCCGTGTTTTTTTTTTAAAGCTTCAATTACAACGGTTGAAATGAAAACCGTTATGGAAAGTTGTGAAATAAAATCAGAAAACCACATACCCTAAACCACAACGCTTAAAAACCCTTTTTAACAATGGTTACATAATAACCGTTGTGGAAGAAACAACTACAATGGTTTTGGAGCCAACCGTTGTGAATTCAGCGTTGTCTTTTTCTATATTTGTAGTAGTGTAGTTTGGGAAATTTTCTTGGTTCAACTACGTAGAGCTCCAATTCACGAGTTCGTGCACGTGTGTTGTGTAACACCCCGACCCAATATATTGTTTCTAATTAATTATTTGTGAAATCCCGTATTTTTAATATATATATATATTTGAAAATCAAATATTTTTCTTATAAGTTAAAAATTTCGATTAAATTGATTATATATTTATATGGGTTATAGTTAATTATATAATTGTTTGACCACATAGTTGTTACCTTTATGATAATACTATTATAAAAATACCTGTTTGTTTGATATAAGATGATGCCACGTACAAAGATATTTACCACTCTAGTTTCTTCACAAGTGTATACCTAGATGACTAAGGTTTTGTAAAGCATGAGCTGTTGGCATTAGGAGAAAGTAGGATAATTTAGGAAGTGAAGTATATCACCAAACCTACATTCCACCAATCAAAAACCATTAGTTGCCGCCTTTTGCTAGTTTAAACAGCATGCATGGTAATGCATGAGAGAGAGAGAGAGAGAGAGAGAGAGAGAGAGAGAGAGAGAGAGAGAGATGTAAGGAAATTTGATTTTGGACGAGATAGGTAAATGGCTTGTCTTGCCAATTTATTTTAAGGGCTCTCATTGTCGAGGTGAGTGGTTTATGTAATGTGTTCTAAAAGTTCTTATTTTGTGATAAAATATGAAAACCATGAATTTTCGTGGATTTGTTCTATTTACAAATATCTCTCTATTTCAAGTCAAGCATGTCTAATTTGGTGCAATCTTTCACACTATATATATTGACGTGAATATTTGTGAAGTACGTATTATTCATGGAACATGAAAACTTCAATGTTGGGGTATCCGAGGGATAGATGTACCACACGGGGACATAGGACAGTAAGGCCAGTAAGGGTCACGTGGTTGGTTACATGCTATGAAGGATAACCGAGATATGAAGGGATGATGTGATATGATATGGATTGGTGTATCTTTTCATGATATTTTCTAGAGTGTGTAAAACGGCATTGCTTGACTGGCATATTGCATAATCTACTCACTGAGCGGTGGTTGCTCATCCCTCACCCTGTTTAACTTTTCAGATGAATTAGTGGGCAAGACGAGGACTATCGATTGAGGCTGAATTAGATGAGAGTAGTAGAGCTTTATTTATTTCTTGTAAAGTTGTAAGATTTCGAAGCTATTTTTATAAGAGAAGTTTATTTTAAACCCTTCTTTGTATTTTTTTTTAAATTTTTTTTTCTCATGCACTGGGGCGTGGGATTTCCACCGACCCCCGGGTTCGGGGCGTGACAGAATGGTATCAGAGCATAGGGATTAGACAACCTTGGAAACTGTGGTAGAAGATTAGTGTGAACATGTAGGTTTGAATTTAAAAAAGTGAATAACAAAGATCTTTAAGAATAGATTTTCCTGATTAAGTGTTAGTAAATTTCGAGGTCGAAATTTCTTTTAAGGAGGGTAGATTGTGAAACCCCGCATTTTTAATATATATATTTGAAAATCAAATGTTTTGCTTATAAGTTAAAAATTTCATTTAAATTGATTATATATTTGTATGGGTTATAGTTAATTATATAATTGCTTGACCACATAGTTGTTACCTTTACGATAATACTATTATAAAAATACCTATTTGTTTGATATAAGATGATGCCACGTACAAAGATATTTACCACTCTAGTTTCTTCTGTTTGTGCCTAATAAATCACGGTCATGAACTGATTGAAAGGACTTCCCTTTGGCCCTGGGGCCTACCGTTTCGTCAAGCATTTCGCCTTCCTAAGAACAAAAGAAAAGCTGCAAAGGCAGAATCCTCTCGGTCTCGCAACCGCAGTATTGAAGGCCGAGGCCGAAGGCCGAAAAAGACACGGCCTAAAAAAGCTATGGTTGAATCGCCACGTGCCCTCAGGGCCCCACGCTCCATTTAATGAAGTAATGCCTCTGACTTCGCAACAAAACCCACTAGCCACAAGAGGCATTCAATGCAAGAGGGAAGTGACTGAAGTTAGGATTTGGTGATGGAAATCAGGGTGGTTAGGCACAGACATTCTCACAAGTAATCTTACGACTTAAGGTCAGATCACCAACCACCAGACCAGGGCATTAAATGCGTTCCCACGGCCAAGGGGGCAGAACCCACGATCAGGGCGGTGGCCGAGATTTACCGAGATTTATGGGGGTCACACCACCTGCTTCACGATCCCAAATGCCGATTTGACTACCCACTTGCCCTAGTCAGGCTCCACCACGCAGGTCTTGTCAGCCTCGAGTGTCCCTCCAGGACTCCTATAAATACTAAGCTCAGGACTACATTCAAAGGGTTCAAACACCAAACCAAAAGCCTCCTACGGAGCAAATTATATTTTCCTGTAATGCACTTTCAATACCTTTATTTGTTTTCTTAGGAGTAGTGGTAGATTGTAAGGAAAATCCATTCATCAATATATCATACGACCATTGATTTTCAAGGCGCCGGAGTACCATCTCTGTTATCGACTCACTCACCCCATATATCATACGACCGTCGCTCTCTGAGCTACGGGCCGGAGCACCGCCTAAAACCCGCCACCAACACCACCACTAAACGGCCTTGTAGCTCAGGCCGTGAACCTAACGGGCCGAGATTAGTTCCTCTCTCGGCCATGATCGTTTGATTAGGAGTCGAACACAAAACAGGCGCAACATTTAAACCATCTTCTACCTGAACCTCATCATCATCTGAACGCACGGTAGACCGTGTGGCACGCCCGCGCACAACCGCACCGCATCCAAAAGAAGGACGTCACGTGTTGATGCACATCCCTCGACCCAGAGTACCAGGCCGTGAGATTCGCCACAGGCCAACACTTTTGGCACGCCCGGTGGGACTCTTGTCAAAAACGTATGGTGGAAACTAGGGCACAGGCAAAACTCAAAAACCAAACAGTCGAAATGACTTCCGAGGCTCCTGAGTCCACCTCACCAATCACTGTCACCGAGACCGAACACGCGGTCAGAACCTCGGCCAGCAGTCCAATAATGACGGATCGCACTGCCGAGTCCATGGGAGAGCAGGCAGTCGTGGAAGATCTAATGGCAAAGCAGTCCTACAGGATAGAAACATCCTTTATGGTCGCAATGGACAGATTCTCCTTGGAGCTACGGACGCTTTTGCAAGAGAGGATGCCGGTGACATCGTCCGCAACGCCTCCCAGAGCCGGACAGAGAGGCCTAGAGCGCCAGAGGTTCGAGCCCTACGGCGAAAGCAGTAGCCTCGGCGTCTCTGGCCGCACCCAAGCGTCAAGTTACGGCCAGCATTCACAGCCGCTGACAAACAGCTGGGGGCAATCCCAGCCAACATGGGTAAATCCCGGACCAACCTACCCAGCAGAGACGACGTACGGCCCACTCCATGCTTTGGCCGTGTCACTGGGGCAAAGTGGCCCCACACAGTTCGCGGTCCAGCAACTTGGTCCAGTCCACACTGTGGCCGTTTAGACCCATCCCGGCCCAAGCAACTCGACCGTTGCTTCGTCACAGCAATAAGGTCAAAGCAATCCGATTGTTTCACCACTACATATGTCGTTATTGCCGTCAGGCTCCCATCTTCAGTACGGTTCGGCCATTCCAACTACAACCCATACGAACCCCTTTCAAACCTACGGCGCATATCTGGTACCACCCAGCTCGGTCGCAACGGCCGAACCCCCTGTTCAAGTGGCCCAGCAGGTAAGGCCGCAGAACGAGGGGCAACAAGTTCCACGAACAGTCGCAGCCCAGCAAGAGGCGCCCCCCCAGGGGCTCCGATTCGAAGACGTTCGGCGAATGATCGAGGACGGCCTGGCTCAGAGGCCCGGGGGAAGCGCCAAGGTATATCAAACCATACCCGCCAGAAATTGACCGAACCCCTCTTCCCCGGAACTATCGGTTGCCAGAATTCATTCTATTCTCTGGGGATGGGCAGACCTCCTCCATCGAACACATAGGCCGCTTCACGGCCCAGTGCGGAGAGGCCGATTCGGACGCCCAGAAGCTCCGTTTATTCGTTCACTCTCTGACCGGCGCGACCTTCTCGTGGTTCATAAACCTTCCGTCGAATTCGGTGAGGGATTGGTCTGACATGGAAAGGATATTCCACAAACATTTCAATCAGACCAACCGAGAAATAACGGTCACTGAGTTGGCAAGGATGAGCCAGGCGTCAGACGAATCACCTTGCGACTACCTGCAGTGGTTCAAAACATGCAGGAATTGGTGCCGTACGAACCTACCGGAGAGGGAATTTGTCAAGATGGCCGAAGAAGGGTTGGAATTCGAATACCAGAAGAAATTCCAGGGGATTGAATTCCGGGACATGCACGACTTGATCAACAAGATGGACCGATAAGCATCCTTGTTGAAAGAAGAGGTGCAAAAGACGACGGCTTCAAAAGGGACTTACTATCGGAATCCCGTTGTCAACTATGCCGAAGCAGACAACCCTACAGAGGCCGAAGGCGACGAAGTTGAGATGACCAAATATTCCCGACGCCAAGTTCGCAACTCGAGAAACGAAGGCCTACACTTTTGATTTGACCAGGGCCGAAGCTATCTTTGACCTACTATTGACCGAGAAAAAGGTCAAATTGTCCTTCGGCCATAAAATTCCGAAACCCGAAGAGCTCAAAAGAAAGACGTTCTGCAAGTACCATAGTTCTTAGTCTCACAACACCAACTGCGTTGTTCTGCGAGACGTCATCCAAAAGTTGATAGACGAAAACAAGCTTCAATTCCCGGAAAAGGCGGCCATGCAAGTCGACTCTAAGCCATTCCCTCCGCCTGTCATCAACATGGTCAACGCTCAGCTCCGGCCCGAATATAGGGAAGTTCGTCGGCCTGCAAAAGGAAATGAGCTGTTTGCCGAACCAGAGCCGGTACCATGCAGTCGGTGCAAGTGTGAGATCGGTCAGCTAAGATCGCCAGAAAACAAAAGGAAGGCCATCGACCCATCTTGACCGGCTAGTACGACCGTCGGCCAGCGAGAAGAGCAGTTTTCGACCGACTAGGGGCACGAGGCCCCAGTACCTCGGCAGGCCACAAAGACGGAGCCGCTCCTAGGCCGGTGAAGACTTTCAAACCACCGGTCGTACGGGATGACCGTTGGTATCATGCTCGACCTGGGGGCAGCAACGAACCTCTGACAAAGGCCCAGTTGAGGAGGATGCAGAGGCAAGTTCAGCAGGCCAAGATACAGACGGCCCAGGTTGAGGGGTTAAAACGTCAAAAGAAGATGGCGACTGCAGACGAACCACCATCCGCACCAATCGTTCCCCCTACAGCGAAGGTCGCCAGCGCCAAGCCTCCAAGGGCGTGGCGCCCTAGGCAAGACGATGATATCCGCGGAATGACGGCCGTTTCGGTCGAGTTAAAGGCTGTGGCCCTGGAGGGAGCAGATGAAGGCATCATCGATGTCTACCACAGAAAGGACCCCCCTTTTTCGGCCAACGGTTTGTCCTTTCTCATGGAATTCCACAAGGACCACTCGACCATCAACCTATACGGCATGACCCCTGAAAACCGTGAAATCGTTGAATTGGCTCTCAGAAACGGCAAGGCAGAAAGGCTGTATACCAGTCGAACCGAGAGGCCAGAGCAAGAGGGATGCCAGGTTACTGACCCGAGCAGGGAAAATTGGAGACCAAGCACCCCTTCGGCAGAAGCGATTTGGAATACCTCCGCCGATATTTTACTGTGACCCCGGCCGACACCATATTCAGTCTGACGACCGAGGAAAGGGCCCGGGTAAGCCGGCTGGACGATTACTTAGCGGCCAGGGATGCGTTAGCTAAGGCTAGGCAAGCCCTCGAGGAGGAAGTCGGGACCTCGGACCCCCCTAAGACCAAAGCGACCACAGACGACACCCCTGGGACTGCAAGGCCTATGGCCGAGGGCCCCGGCGACCTTCTCTTTGGTCACGAGGCTGAGGATGACCCTGCGTTGGGAATCTCCGATGAGGACTGCGATGGGATCCTTGGAATGATTGAGGAAAACACCCTCGCCTTTGGTAGGGGAAACTAGCGGAACCTAAAGGAGGTCAGCATGAACATAGTTTTGGTGCTACCGTCCGAGTTTTAGGCCCCAAGAGGCCAGACCAACGGCCTGGATAATGACGTGGCCGAGGAACAACTTGATCAAAGGCCAAAGACAAAGGAAGAATTGTTGGCCGTGGCTTTTAACGAGGTAATACCCATAGACGAGCCAAACAAATACCGACACCTCAAGCTGTTATACATCTCGGCTCATGTGGAGGGTGTGCCCGTGTCCAAGGTCTTCGTTGACTGGGGCGACGGTCAACATCCTTCCCTATTCCCTGATGAAGAAGCTGGATAAGTCAAAGGAGGACCTCATCCCCAGCGATGTGGTCATGAGCAGCTTTGTCGGCGATAAATCTAAGACTATCGGGGTGTTGCCGTTAAAAATCACCATGGTCGACCAGACGAGAGTCGCGGCCTTCTACGTGGTCGAATCCAGCATGGACTACAATATATTGCTCGGTCGTGACTGGATCCATCAGTCCGGGTGCATACCGTCCCCCCTCTTCCAACTGTTGTTCTTCTGGGACGGCCAGAGGGTTTCCATACACCCGGCCGATAAAAAACCCTTTGAAACCAACGCCGTGCAAGCACGAATTTACGATGACAACGTTGGATGGGTTGTCCTCACCGACCACGATGAAAGCGGCCGGCCAACTAGGACAACGGCTTAGAAAGTGTTGGAGTTAGGCGCCGAGAATGTTCGACAGGATTCGGCGCACGAAGTATTGATCGACCTCACTGACCTGTAGATGACAGACAAAGCCACTAGAGAGGAGGGATCCACGATCGTGACCGACCTGCTGGAAAGACTGCTGGAACATTGGGCAGAAGAATCCTTACAGCCAAACTCGCCAATCAACCTAATCGAATTCCTCCATGAGTCGGATGAGGCGGACACTTTGGCCTTGGACGGCTTGGGAACGGCGCCCGCCGAGATGGAGGATGACTACCCCGAGGTCCAGGACCCGTTATTAGAAATAAATATAGGGACCGAGCCCGAACCACGGCCTCTTTTTGTAAGCCAGCTTTTGAGCCCTGAATTAGCAGCCGAGATTATCGGCCTGCTTCATGAATATAAGGATTGTTTTGCTTAGGATTATCATGAGATGCCTAGATTGCCAAGAAGTTTGATCTGACCTTAGGGAGGGGTTTAGGCCTTTCCAACCGCCGCCGAGGCGATTCTCGACTGAAGTACAGCTTAAGGTCAAAGAGGAAATTGAATGGCTCCTTGAAGGTCAAACAGCTTAAGGCGATTCATCCGCACGGCTCAGTACGTTGAGTGGTTGGCTAACATTGTATCGGTGTTTAAAAACACTGGGGCTCTGAGGGTCTGCACCGACTACAGAAATCTAAACCTCGCGACCCCCAAGGACGAGTATCCCATGCCTCTGTCCGACCTCCTGGCGGACGGAGCCGCGAAGCACGAGCTCTTGTCTTTCATGGACGGCCACGCTGGCTACAACCAAATCTTCATAGCCGAGGAAGATGTCCACAAGACGGCGTTCAGATGTCCAACAGGGGTAGTCATGCCATTCGGTCTGAAGAACGCCGGTGCAACGTACCAACGAGCTATGAACCTTATTTTTCACGACCTAATTGGCCGAACCGTCGAAGTCTACATCGACGAAGTTGTTGTAAAGTCCCCATCCAAAGCTGACCATGTAGGGCATCTCCAACAGGCTTTCAATCGCATGCGGGCACACGGCCTAAAGATGAACCCTAAGAAATTTGCTTTCGGCATCACCGCCGAGAACTTACTCGGCTTCTTGGTCCACCAACGGGGGATCGAGGTAGATAAGAGTAAAGCCACGGCCATCATGACGGCACCCCCGCCGAAGACCAAAAAGGACCTCCAGTACTTCCTCGGTGAGGTCAACTTTTTAAGACGGTTCATATCCAATTTGGCGAGAAAAATCTGGCCATTGACTCCTCTGCTCAAACTGAAGGACACAGAACGGTTCGTGTGGGGGCAGAACATCAAGCGGCCCTCGACGACATCAAGCAATATTTATCTCAACCGCCGGTCCTTATGCCGCCGAAAAGAGGGAAACCCTTGAGGCTTTACATTTTGGCTTTAGAAGGCTCTATCGGTTGTCTGCTGGCCCAGAACAACGAGTATGAGCGAGAGCAAGTAGTGCATTATCTAAGCCATACCCTTAACATGGCTGAGCTAAACTATTCACCGATCGAGAAATTATGCTTGGCACTTTATTTCGCGGCCACCAAGTTGCGCCATTATATGCTTCCTTCGGTCGTTCAGATCATCTCCAAGACCGACCTCATCAAATACATGCTTACTCGGCCGATCATATGTAGTCGGATCGGGAAGTGGACGATGGCATTGTCCAAATTCACCTTCCAATATGTGGCCCATAAGTCGATCAAAGGCCAGGCATTGGCTGATTTCTTGGCCCACCACCCGGCTCAGGGGCAAAAGGGGGAGTTGGAGGTTGAGATCGGCATGACCTACATGGAAAAAAACTACTGGACCATGTACTTCGATGGCTCCAGTACCGAGACCAGGTCTGGGGCTGGGGTCGTGATCGAATCCCCCCAAGGACAAAGGTGGCAATTTGCGTTCCAGCTTGATTTCAAATGCACCAATAATCAGGCAGAATATGAAGCACTCATCATCGGTCTTGAAATTCTAAAAGAAATGAAGGTGACCCGTGTCCTGGTCTACGGTGATTCTCAGCTGGTAATTAACCAACTGACTGGGGAATATCAGTGCACAAGAGAGAATTTAACCTTGTATTATGTAACGGCCCTCAATACGGCCGGTGAATTTTCTAGGATCTCCTTCGTTTACGTACCGCGCGCCGAAAACCATGAGGCCAATGAGATGGCCCAGGTAGCGTCAGGTGTGAACATTCCGGACAGCGACCACGACCGCGTAATAAGGATCGAGAAGCGCACCCTGCAGGCTTTGGCCGAGCGAGGAATGACTGCGCAAGTATCATCAGCCGAGATTACCGACGAGGTCGAAGTGGCCGAAGTCGACTGGCGTTACCCCATAGTAAAGCATCTGCGCGATTCCTCCGGCAACCATGAAAGGACTACTCGCTTCCGAGCTCGGTGTTATTTGATTTATTAGAACGATCTGTGCCGAAAAGGATTAGACGATTTGTTGCTCCTATGCCCCAGCACTGAAGATATCAAGGTTATCATGGCCGAATCCCACAAAGGGATTTGCGGCGCTCACCGGTCCAACGTTAAGATGAGATGGTTGGTCCGGAGGCACGAGTATTATTGGCCGACCATTTTAGAGAACTGCATAGAATATGTGAAGGGGTGCATCAAGTGTCAAATCTACGGCCTCATACAAAGGGTACCGGCTGACGCCCTCCACCCGGTTACTAAACCATGGCCATTCAGAGATGGGCCGTGGATATCATCTGTAAAATCTACCCGGCCGCATCCAACCAGCACGCCTGGATTTTGGTGGCAACTGACTATTTCACTAAATGGGTCGAGGCGGAGTCCTATCAGTCCATTTCTAGCACATAGGTGGTCAGATTCTTCGAAAATCACATTGTCCACAGATTCGGTATACCCGAAACCATCACGGCCGATAACGGCCCGGTGTTCGCATCAGCCGAGACTCGAGAATACGTCGAAAGGATGGGGATCAAATTGGTCCACTCGACACCCTACTACCCACAGTCTAACGGACAGGCCGAGGCGAGCAACAAGGTAATCAAGGGTATCCTCAAGAAGATGATTGAGGAAAAACCTAGGGCGTGGCACGACTTACTCCCTGAGGCCCTCTGGGTTTATCGAGTCTCGAAACGATCTGCTACTGGCACATCCCCTTATGCTTTAACCTACGGTCATGACGCCATCGTTCCGATGGAGCTAAAGGTTCGGTTTCTCCGTGTGACCGAATGACCTGGGCAAGAAGAAAAGGATTATGCGCAGGCCATGGCTCAGGAGTTAGAAGATTTGGAGCAATCCAGGCTCAACGCCTATAACCTAATGCAGGCACAAAAGCAGATCGCGGTGAGGTCCTACAACAAGAAGGTGAAGCAAAGGACTTTCGCCAAAGACGACTTGGTATGGCGTGCCGTGCTTCCTATCGGGACTAAGGACCCTCGGTTCGGCAAATTCTCACACAATTGGGAAGGGCCGTTTATTATTGAACGAATCCTTGGCCGAGTTGCATTTCAGTTAAGAGATAGGGATGGGGAATGGCACAACTTTCCAATAAACGGCCAATGTTTGAAGAAATATACCCCGTCATTATGGGAGACGGCCAAGAATGGGTTATGAGGTTTGCAAACGGCAAAGATAAAAGAAAAATCATACATTCGGTCAGAAGAAAAAGGCGTTATACTTCATTTAGATTAAAAGAAAGGGGGCCGGTCATGGCCGAATGAAACATATAAGCATACATATGCGAAAAGTAGAATACATCCTAAATCTATGAACGGTCGCTTCTTGATCCCCTTGCTCGAACAGGTAGATGATTCTTCCCTAGGCGGTCCCTCCACTGCCCACTGTTCCACTGGCCGCGGCCAAAGGCAAGGCCGTCATTCTAGGCATGGGTGAGACCGGGTTGCAATCAAGGCCGTCACTCTGAACACGGTGCAATCAACTAAAATCAGGGCCGTCATTCCAACCATGGGTGCGGACGTCACCCTGGTCATGGGTGAGACCAGGTCGCAATCAAGGTCGTCGCTCTGGCCATGGCAAGGGCCGTCATTCTGGGCACAACTATGGCTGGGTGAAGCCAGGGCCGTTACTCCGGCCATGGGTGCAACCAAGGTGCTAGCCCAAACGGACATGGCCAAGTTGGAATCATCATACCAGGCCCTTCCATCTTCATCGATCGCATTGCGGTCACTCCGCGACCTCATACGAAGGAAGGTCATCCTCCCCTAGGGCCAGGAAGGAATCTCGGCCACACCATGGGGCCCACGTCGACGTTCCAGGAGGAAGGATAGTTGATGGACAGCAGGAGGGAGAAAACCATATGGATCAGGCCACGCCGCAGGGATCCGCGGATATGGCTCAGCCTTGGTTCTGGAGAAGCTACAAGGGGGAGGCCACTGGAGCAGGTTGGCATGGAGGGGAAGGAGTGGAGAAAAATGAAGAAGGCCAGGCTTTTATATATGCACTAGAATATGAAACGAAAGGGCATGGCTTCCTCGAGAGACGTAGCGGTCTGACTGTACGTTCGCACGCGCGATGATGTGGCGGAAGCTCAGAAGCCGTCGTTTCATTTAACAAGACAAAACGGCGGTTTGCGCAACGATGGCCTACGAGACGTGCTTGCGCATTTAATGCGCCGATTGACCTACGCATTTAAAGCACCAACTGTCAATCACTTCAAGGGGAATGCAAAGGATCCATCCCTTGGAATCCTTTCAACCTCTGCCCAGGCGGCGACCGAAGAATCCATGAACTGATTGAAGGGACTTCCCTTCGGCCCTGGCGCCTACGGTTTCGTCAAGCATTTCGCCTTCCTAAGAACAAAAGAAAAGCTGCAAAGGCAGAATCCTCTCGGCCTCGCGACCGCAGTATTGAAGGCCGAGGCCGAAGGCCGTAAAAGACACGGCCTAAAAAAGCTATGGTTGAATCGCCACGTGGTCTCAGGGCCCCACGCTCCATTTAATGAAGTAATGCCTCTGACTTCGCAGCAAAATCCACTAGCCACAAGAGGCATTCAATGCACGAGGGAAGTGATTGAAGTCAGGATTTGGTGATGGAAATCAGGGTCGTTAGGCGCAGACATTCTCGCAAGTAATCTTTCGACTTAAGGTCAGATCACCAACCACCAGACCAGGGCATTAAATGCGTTCCCACGGCCAAGGGGGACAGAACCCACGATCAGGGCGGTGGCCGAGATTTACCGAGATTTATGGGGGTCACACCACCATGCTTCACGATCCCAAATGCCGATTTGACTACCCACTTGCCCCGGTCAGGCTCCAACACACAGGTCTTGTCAGCCTCGAGTGTCCCTCCAGGACTCCTATAAATACTAAGCTCAGGACTACATTCAAAGGGTTCAAACACCAAACCAAAAGCCTCTCACGGAGCAAATTATATTTTCCTGTAATGCACTTTCATTACCTTTATTTGTTTTCTTAGGAGTAGTGGTAGATTGTAAGGAAAATCCATTCATCAATATATCATACGACCCTTGATTTTCAAGGCGCCGGAGCACCATCTCTATTATCGACTCACTCACCCCATATATCATACAACCGTCGCTCTCTGAGCTACGCGCCGGAGCACCGCCTAAAACCCGCCACCAACACCACCACTAAACGGCCTTGTAGCTCAGGCCGTGAACCTGACGACCGAGATTAGTTCCTCTCTCGGCCACGATCGTTTGATTAGGAGTCGAATGCAAAACAGGCGCAAATTTTAAACCATCTTCTACTCGAACCTCATCATCATCTCGACGCACGGTAAACTGTGCTGGCATGCCCGCGCACAACCGCACCGCATCCAAAAGAAGGACGTCACGTGTTGACGCACATCCCCTCGGCCCGGAGTACCAAGCCATGAGATTCGCGATAGGCGAACATCTGCACAAGTGTATACCTAGATGACTAAGCTTTCTACCTAGATGACTAAGATTTTGTAAAGCATGAGCTGTTGGCATTAGGAGAAAGTAGGATAATTTAGGAAGTGAAGTATATCACCAAACCTACATTCCACCAATCAAAAACCATTAGTTGCCGCCTTTTGCTACTATAAATAGAAACCATTCCCTTAACTTGTTTAAACAGCATGCATGGTAATGCATGAGAGAGAGAGAGAGAGAGAGAGAGAGAGAGAGAGAGAGAGAGAGAGAGAGACAGAGAGAGATGTAAGGAAATTTGATTTTGGACGAGATAGGTAAATGGCTTGTCTTGCCAATTTATTTTAAGGGCTCTCATTGTCGAGGTGAGTAGTTTTTGTAATGTGTTCTAAAAGTTCTTATTTTGTGATAAAATATGAAAACCATGAATTTTCGTGGATTTGTTCTATTTACAAATATCTCTCTATTTCAAGTCAAACATGTCTAATTTGGTGCAATCTTTCACACTATATATATATTGATTGGAATATTTGTGAAGTACGTATTATTCATGGAACATGAGAACTTCAATGTTGGGGTATCCGAGGGATAGATGTACCACACAAGGACATAGGGCAGTAAGGCCAGTAGGGGTCATGTGGTTGGTCACATGCTATGAAGGATAACTAAGATATGAAGGGATGATGTGATATGATATGGATTGGTGTATCTTTTCATGATATTTTCTAGAGTGTGTAAAACAGCATTGCTTGACTGGCATATTGCATAATCTACTTACTAAGCGGTGGTTGCTCATCCCTCACCCTGTTTAACTTTTTAGATGAATTAGTGGGCAAGACGAGGACCAAAACGATTAAGGCTGATTTAGATGAGTGGTAGAGCTTTATTTATTTCTTGTAAAGTTGTAAGATTTCGGAGCTATTTTTATAAGAGAAGTTTATTTTAAACCCTTCTTTGTATTTCTATTTTTTTCTTTTTTAAAAAAAAATTTTCTCACTCACCGGGCGCGGGATTTCCACCGACCCCCAGGTTCGGGGCATGACATTATTTAATTGTGTCATTACATTTCTGCCCTTGGAGTAAGGGCACTTTAGTCTCTTTTTGTTCAGAAAAGAATTTGGGGAATTGAGTCGCACCGTTGCGTACAACTAGTGAATACGAGTCCGTAGACATGCGTAGGGGGCTTTTCGTTTCGACAGCTACTGCAGGCCTGGGCTGCTGTAAAAAGCCAAAAGTATAAAATTGCTCATTGAGTCTGAGTTCATGGATCAAGCCCCAAGAGTGTTTCGAAAGGGTAGCTGAGCCTTAGCAAACACTTTGGTCATCTTCACCAATGAAACCAACAGTCACTTACAGATAAATTCTTTGGCTTGTCATGAGAAGCTTGTGGCATGGGAGCTAAGCACTCACGAGTTTAGCATGAAAGAGAGAGAGGGCTGTGAGTTCCTATGAGAAGCATGAGTTCTAAGGAAAGGGGGAAGATATTCTAAGAGGGTTTGTTGAAGAGAGAGGGATGGGGGTATATTGGGTATGTTGAGTAGTTTCCAGCAGCTCGATGAAAACTCTGTCAAGCTTTGGAACAGTTTACCAAAAGGGAAAATGGGGAGATATGGAAGGATGGGGCTCGAAATGGCAGAGATTTCATAGGCGAGAGATAAAGCTTGCACTGCAGATGTGTCTTGAGAGAGAGAGAGGAAGAATGTGGCTTCTATTATAAGTGGTGGAAACCTTAATTTTGTCAAGCCTTCCTCCCCCTTTTCTTCACTCTCTTCCATTTACCTTGTTTGGTGGAATTTCCCTACCCTAAACCCATAGGCACGCAGCTTTTTGGGATTCCAAGGTCCTCAAGCAACTGGACTCCTCCATGTGGGTAAGGCGCCACCCACTTTTGCTTCTTGTTTTCTCATCAAAACTTGAAGAGGAAAGAATGGGTATGGGTGCTAGTCAAAAGGTGATCAGCACATGGGTTTGCTTGGTTTTGATGGTTTTGACAAATATGCTTGATATTTTCCATGATGCTGGGCTGGGCTGGGCTACTGGTATCTTGTTTCTAGCGGCCTGTGAGTTTACTGAAGCTATTGGAAACAGCCTATTTGATCAAGGTGCGAGATATTTTGGCTGTTGTGGGATTTTTCCAAGTGTTTTCAAGCCATTGGATATTTTCCTAAGCTATTGGGCCACTCATTCTCTCTCACGCTTACCCATATATTTGGGCTCAAGAAATGGGCTCAAATTTTGGTGCTCCCAAGTAGCCCAAAACTTCCACTTCTTGGCCCATCAATGGGCCTCGTGAATGCTCTTAACTATCCATGCCACAACCCACTCAACAAGCCCCAGGCATTCGCGTGGTTTGGGTTCACTTAAGCTTGTAGCGTGGCATGTTTCTTAAATAAGGATTTTTCACTTGGTGTTGTACTGGGGTGAAAATATATTTGGGCCCAACCTTAGATTTTTTTTTGGGCCTCAACAACATGCGGCACACTCAATTCAAATTTAAAACGAAGAAATTATGATCTACGAAAGTTCAGTGGCACAATCGTAAATATCACGAAGTTCCAATTTAATTAACAGATCAAATTCTTTTTTTTGGAATTTATCTCTCTCCCCTGGCTCGTGCGACCCTCTCCCCCTTCACGAAACAGACCGGCCTGTTTGGCCGATGTTTTATCCTCCGTCCGACCATAAAACGTTCGTCTCTTCCTCATCTGAACATCCATACCCATATCCACCTTTGAAACTCCAAAATTGGTTGTGATTTTGGACTGGAACCAAGTGAAACCCTAGTTTCCTCGTTGCTTTTGTTTGTGCGATTTCCGGTGATTTTAATGACCAAAATCATCAAACTAGGTATGAAACTTCATCCTCTCATCGTGCACTACCTGTTTATGTGCTTGGTTTCGGTTAATTTTGAGGTTTTAGAGATCGATTTCTAACCCCCAATTATGCCGATAGTTTCGGCTTCATTCCAGCTAGTTCCAATCAGTTTTTGGCTGTGGTCCAAGAACAAAAATGCTCCCCTAGTTGTTCTTGATATGTTGGTATAGGTATTGTAGTGTGTTTCGAGAAATTTCTGTCCGCAAATTTCTCAAGACATCCACGTGCTATTGGCGGTGGGTGGCGATGTGTGGGCCATTGTGTGTCGGCCCATTATGTTCTGAAATACTCCCCATGTCGTCCTGAGCATGATTCTATGCTCATATTTGGAATTGGTTGTCATTTGACTATCAAACAGATATTGCACCTATTATACGATATCTGGGTTCGATAGGTTTGGACCGTTCATCGGTTCCAATTTCAACTATGTTGTTCTCGGTACCTCTAGGATTGTGTAGGAACTTTCAGATCAGAAATTGAAGGTCGTAAGCCTCTTGAGCCTTGCAGGCCCGATTGACCAATATGGAAAGTTTGACCGCTTGGTTGACCATGAGTCTTCCGAGACTGCCTCATCCTTCTAGAAGTACTAGAATGATTCTATAAACCTTCTTAAAGGTTGTCCAATATAGGTCCCTACAATTTTTATTTCCTAGAGCCATTTAATCTCAACTTTTTTTCTAACTTAAAATTAATAAAAAGCAATAATCTTTGAGAGAGATCAAACAAATGAAGAAAACTCATAAATCCCTTTGAGTTAAGCCCATAATAATAATTAATCAGGGAGAAAGGAAGGATGAACCCTATCTATCGTTGTTACCCTATCTATCATTGATTTAGTAGTAAATATGCATGATCTGGAATTTAATTGTTAACCTATCTATCATTAATTCTAGATTAATTACCCAGTGGGATGAGAGGAAGGATGAAGCCTAGCTGGAATGGACTAAAAGATGAAGCACTCAAATGCAATATGGCTTAGAGGATCAGATGTAGGGAAGTAGAGAGAGATAGAGAGCCCTCCCTAACCACAGGGGAGGGGGTACTATTAGCATTAGACACCACCGACAGAGTGGATGATTTGAGATTAATAAGTTGGCCAGGATCAAATGTCATGTGATCCGTAGCGCCCGAGTCGATAATCCATGCGGAGTTTTTGGAGGACGTATGAAAAGTAGAAGCTTTGGTGGTGGTGATAGAAGCAGAAGTCCGGGTAGCCGGGGCAGCAGGATTGACCGCATGCTTCTGTGAGTCTGCAATAAGATGGAGAATCGTTAGGGTTCCTGACATCGCAGCGGAAGTAAGATGTGATATGAGAAGGTGAGGAATTTGATGTACGAATTTGATGTAGGAATTGGATTTAAGAGGTATGTGTATAAGATTTGAGGGTATGTGTTCAGGGATTTGGATAACAGGATTTGAGGACTTTAGATTTGAGGGATTTGGATTTGGGGAAAATTATGAGGAATTTGATTTAGGGTTTTGGATTTGAATATGAGAAATTTAAGATAAAGGTTTAGAGACAACCTAGGATCGATTGCTCTGATACCATGCTAAAACATTAATTTGGTTTGAATGTATTAGGTTGAATATTCTTCTCCATAAGGAGGTATATATAGGAGTTTACATAAGTGCTTTACAAGGAAATAGATACAATAATCAATTAGGATAGTATGTCCTAATTATACAAAGATTTTTCAACTGAATAAAATGGGAAAGTAAATCGCTTAATTAATCAAGGAAATAAATCTCCTTGATTAATTAGGAGACTCACGTCAACAGTCTAGGATTTAAATTAGTTTATAATTCACAAGAACTTGAGAATTAATTCAGTCTTTGTGGGAACGACCCTGTACTTGCCTTCGCCATATTGCATTTTCAGGTAGTATAATTATACATCAAGTTTTTGACGCCGTTGCCAAGGACTGAGTTTAAAGCTTTGTGTTGTGTGATTTTAGCTTTACTTTGGTCGTTATTTCAGTAACTTGTCGTCCCTTTAATCTTTGTGTTATCGTTTTACTTTGTTGTATTTCTTTGATTTATTTTCTTTTATTATTTGTTTCTTTGTTTTCCGGCATCACCTATTATTAACTATCTCTTTTGTTTCGTTGTCTGTAGGTTGCTCTGAAGTATTTGTGTGCTCTGTGTGTGTTAGTTAATGGTCAGCACAAGATCCCAAGGTCAAGAATTAGTGCCCTTTGATCCTGAGATAGAAAAAACGTTCTGAAAGCTTTGTCGCATCAACCAACGAGCATTTGCTACTGATTTTGAGTTTGACACAGAGTTAATGGCAGCCAACACTAGGCCTTGAAAGAGTATTCACAGCCCACAATCTTAGAAAAGCCTTCATGTATCACATTTCCTGAGGAGTGTTTCAAAACTTTTGATAGAGTTGCTGCCAACTCTATGTAATGGGGAGATAACAGATTCACAAGGAAGACTAGTGTGCACAGTGTCGATATAAATCCTGGAGTTGCTTCAGCATCTCAAGTATCCAACTTGGAAAAGAAGCTTGAAATTTTCATGCAATCAATGACCAGATTTTTTTCTCTTTCCTTTATGTGTGCTATTTGTTCTTATAGTTCTTATCCAACTTGTAGTTGTCATTTGAGTGATCTTACGTAGGAACAGGCTAATCAAATAAATTCCTTTCAGAAGCCACGACATGATCCCTACTCCAAAACATATAACCCAAGATGGAAGAAGCACCCCAACTTCTCATGGATCAACAACAATCCGTCTGAACATCGCATTTATCCTCAGCAGAAACCTGCCAATCCGAATAAACCAAGAGAACCAACTTTGACGAAGATTATGACTCAGTTTATTCAACTTAACAACAAATAAAAATAACCTTCAAGCTGGTTATCAAAATTGTCATGCTGCAATCAGAAATTAGAAGTCTAAGTAAGCCAGATTGCAAACATAGTTAATGAGAGGGAGACAGGAAAGTTACATAGCCAACCTGAAGTAAATCCAAGAGGCTAGGAGCACATTAAGGCCATAAAAACATTGAGGAGTGGCCGAATTTATGAGGCTAGACCTGAAGATGTTTCTAAGGTTGAAATAGAGGGAAAACAAGCCGCTGAAATTGAGTTAGAGGTGGAGGAAATAACCACACTTCAACCACAACGAATGTTAGAGAGGTCTCTACAACAGCTATTGAGTTTACCAAAGAACCTACAGTGGCTGCCTATTCCAAGAAAGAATATATGTGCCTCTCATTCCTTTTCCTCAAAGACTATAGAAGCACAAGAGATATCAAAAAACACTGGATATTCTGGAATTGTTTAGAAAGGTTCAAATAAATATTCCATTGTTGGATGCAGTGAAGCAAATCCCAGCTTATGCTAAGTTCCACAAGGATGTTTGCACAAACAAGCAAAAGTTTGAGAAAGTGATGTTGTTTGAGGAATGCATTGTAGTTTTCCTTAAGAAATTGCCACCAAAACTTAAGGATCCAGGGAGTTTTACAATTTCTTGCATTATTGGAAATTTACATATTGAAAAGGCTTTAATTGATTTGGGTGCAAGTATTAACTTAATGCCTTATTCTGTATTTCAGCAGCTAGGCATTGGAGATATTAACCAACTTTTGTGAGCTTGCAACTGGCTGATAGGTCTATCAAATATCCACTTGGAATTGTTGATGATATACTAATCAAAGTGGATCAATTTGTGCTTCCAATGGATTTTATCATCCTTGACATGGAGGAAGATAGATAAGTTCCCATCATTACGGGACGTCCTTTTATGGCTACTGTTGGCACCATCATTGATGTGAAGAAAGGTTTATTGACCATGACTGTACAAGGCCAAACTGTTGAGTTCAAGGTGTTTGAGGCCATTAAGAAGCCCGTGGAGATGAATGAGTGTTTGTGTAGATACCGTTGATACAAATGCCCACACCACTTTCCTAGCTAATGTCAACGAGGATGAACTTTTCACATGCATAGCCAAACCGGAGCTAAGGTAGGGTTAAGGGAGAGGGATGGAGGAGTTGACATATTTAATTATTTTATTTTTATTAAGAGATAACAGAGTTAGAGTAGGAATAACTCTGTTAAAGTAGGGTTAAGTGAGAGTAGGAATAACTCTATTAAAGTAGGGTTAAGTGAGATGTCAGGTATCAAAAAATTAAGGAAAGGACAGGGAATGACAGACAAAAACATGAGAAGAATAATTACCTTATCCAAGTTGCTGACTTGGCACCATCTGGTTGGGAAATCTCACTAGGGTGGTGATTTTATGATCATTTAGAATAAGCACGTCCGAATTAAAACTTAAAAATATTTGAATTTTTTGGAGGATTCTACATCAACTAGTCTTAACTACCACTCAAGTCCAATTTCATCAATAATTGTGAGATCATTTTATGTTTTGTTGATTTCATCAACTTACTTTCCTGTAATGGTATTATAGAGACATTCTCCAATAAGTATTTAAGTGAATGATTAGTTACATCTAATCTCGATTGTTGGACTGCATCTAATAAACTGTCAACACATTTAATGAATGCAATCTAACGGCTAAAATTAGAAGTATGTGACCAATCCTTAACATAAAATACTTATTAGAGAATCTTCCTGATATTATATAGGCCAGCTTATTGTTTTTCCTCGCACCGAATTTATCCTAACCCATTCATTGCAATAAAGTAATATATTTTAGTTTTAGGATTCACAGCAACTTGCTCTGCTTTCACTTCTCTGCTATTTCTTGTCTTCTTCAGTATTGAAGTGCAAAGTGGAATAGTATAGTCAGGCCTAAAAAAGATTCCATGTACTATCACTCCAAAACAGAAAAAGGGGTTCTACGGTATACCACTCCAGTTTCTACGTACGTAAAAAGTTATAAGAGTTGCTAATAGAAATGTCCATGTAATTATTATATTTTAACATAAACCCAATCATTTTTTTAACTCATATTTGAAATAGTAAATTAATCTTAGACCCATAAAATTCATTTAAAATCACCTACAACCATTTCCTTTAGTTTTCTATTTAAAATACTTAATTTTTTCAAATAATACCCGATGACTAGGATCGAACTAAGCAAGTTACCTAATATAACTTCAAATTTGATTTATTATATTTTACGGATTCCAAAACTATCCTTATTTAGAAGTTAGAAATATCTCCAAATAGTAGTAATGGATGTAGGAACTAATTTAGAAACTTATTTGAAATTAAATATTAAATTTCACATTAAAGTATTAGTAATCTATTTTTGACTTAATGGTGTTTTCCTTCTATGAATTAGGACTAGTAATATATTTAAAGTATTAATAATTGAAATTCAATATTAAATTTAGGAATTAATGTTGTTTTCTTTTTATGAATTATAAGACCAGTATTCTTTTTATTAATTTTTATGAATAATAGTGTACATTCTAATTACGTTGAAACATAATTTGATAATCTATTTATTGTTTTGTTTTTAAAACATTTTTTTTTAATGAACCTATTTTTTCTCCAAATATTATACCTATTTTTTTTCTTTATTACTTGTTTTATGAAAACTAATTTGATCATTTTTTATTGTTTGTTTTATGAATTTTTTTTTAAATGAGCCTATTTTTTCTCTCAAAATAATGTACCTTTTTTTTTCTCTCTCTCTAATAATCTACCTTTTTTTAGGATTTTTAGGATTTTTCGGGGCATTTTTAGGATTTTTCTACTATTTATTGCATTTTTTCAAAGATTTTTGCACTAAAAAAGCCAAAATAATTGCCAAATGGACACCTGGCGCGATCTCAGCCCCTCACCTTTCACCCCTTGACAAGTGTACGTCAGTCAACATGGCCACATCCTTACCTTTTACCCTAAATTATTATTTTATTACTTTTTCTTAGAAAATTCATAACTAAATACACAAAAATCAAAAAAATGGTCCGAAAATTGTTACGAACTCATTGAGACTCCATCTCCCTTGCTGAATTCCCCGATTCATGGGTACGCATTTTAAAAAATAATTCCGAACATTAACGAGGGATGCTTGTTGAAGTAGATTATTGAAGTTAAAGTTAAAAAAACATATATACTTAGGGTTAAGAGGAAAGTGAGTTATGTAAACCAATTTGGACGTTTTCATTGCGAAATGGATGATTTATGGGTTCCATAGTTTTATAACGTCACAAGGAGGCGGGGGTATTTTTCGGGTCATTTTTAGGATTTTTCTACTATTTATTACATTTTTTCAAAGATTTTTGCACTAAAAAAGCCAAAATAATTGCCAAATGGATATCTGGCGCGATCTCACCCCCTCACCTTTCACCACTTGACAAGTGT